GGAGGGGAGGGAAGGAAGGAAGGAAGGGGGGAGGGAGGGAAGAAGCAAAGCAAAGCGAAGTGATAAGGTAGCGGTTCTGGAAGTGCTGTCTGATGGCCCATAGAGGTTCCAAACACCCTGTCTGGGATTCTGTGCTCGTTTCCGGATAGTGGGAAGAAGTTTGCCATTTTCACTGTGCACTTATGAGGCAAAAGCAGTGGTGGCTCTTGGCATAAGTCAAAGAAATGGCACTCAAATGGTCTTCACTACCCATCATTGTCACTTAAGAAGGTCCTCAGTTAAGCAGTAAAAATTCTGAATTTTGTTGACTCTTGACCTCACATCTTTTCAAAAAGTAGACAATTTTTAGAGCAGTTTTAGTTTCATTATGAAATTTGAGTGGAAAGTACAGAGTTCTTGTGTACCGTGTCCCCATACCAGCGAGTCTCAGCAGCCATTGATATGTTTGTCACTATCAGTGAACTTACCCTGACTTATCACTATTACCAGAGTCCATGGTTTAAGTTAGGGTTCACTCAGTGTTGCATTTTCCATGGGTTTGGACAAATGTATATTGACACGTATCCATTGTTATGGTATCATGCATAGTTTCAATGCCCTAAAGTCTTGTTGCTCTGTCAACTCATACATCCCTTCTCACAGACCCCTGGCAACCACTGATTTTTGTTTGTTTGTTTGTTTTTAAGATTTTATTTATTTGAGAGAGTTACAGAGAGAGAGGGAGAGACACAAAGAGAAAGACCTTCCATCTACTGGTTCACTCCCCAAATGGCTGCATCAGCCAGGTTTGGGCCAAGTTGAAGCCAGGAGCCAGGAACCAGGAGCCAGGTCTCCCTCATGGTTGATAGGGACCTGCGCACTTGAACCATCATCTGCTGCCTTCCCAGGCACATTACCAGGAAGCTGGATCAGAAGCTGAGGACCTGGGGTGCAAGTATGGGATGCTAGCATCCCAAGCGGCAGCTTAACCCGCTGCGCCACACTGCTGGCCCAGCCACTGGTCTTTTTATCTTTCTCCACAGTCTTGCCTTTTCCAGGATATCATATAGTTGGAATCATACAGTGTATACCCTGTCCAAGTTGGCTTCCTTACCTTAGTAATATAGATTTAAGCTTCTTCCGGGTTTCTTCATGGCATAGCTCATTTAGTTTCCACACTGAACAATAGTCTGTTGTCTGGATGTGCAGTAGCTTATCCATTGACTACTGAAGGCCACCTTGGTTGCTTCCAAGTTTTGGCAATTGTGAATAAAGCTGCCAGAAAACATCTACGTGCAGGTTTTTGTGTGGGCGGGTTTTCGACGCATTTGGGTAAATATCAAGGATTTGGTAAGAATATGCTTAGTTTGTAAGAAACTGCCAAACTACCTCCAGGGCAGCTGTAGCATTCTGCATTCTCACCGACAGTGAGAGTCCCTGTAGCAACGCATTCTCCCCCGCGCGTGGCGCTGTCAGGGTTTTAGATTTTGCCATTCTAGTAGGGTGCAGTGGTGTCTCATCGTTGTTTGAATTTGCAATTCCTGATAATGTTGAGCAGGTTTTTTTTTTTTTTTTTAAGATTTTATTTATTTGTTTGAGAGGTAGTTACAGAGACTGAGAAGGAGAGACAGAGAGAAAGGTCTTCCATCCGCTTGTTCACTCCCCAAATGGCCACAATGGCTGGGGCTGGGTCAGGCCAAAGCCAGAGGCCTGGAACTCCATCAGGGTCTCCCACATGGGTGCAGGTGCCCAAGGACTTGGGCCATCTTCTGCTGAAAATCTCTTATAAAATTTTATCATAGTGGGGTGGCACTGTAGCTCAGCTGGTTAAGATGCTGCCTGTGATACTGTCATACTATATGAGCAGGGGTTCGAGTCCTGGCTATTCCACTTCCAATCAAGCTCTCTGCTAATGTACCTGGGAAAGCAGCAGAAGATGGCTCAAGTACTCAGGTCCCTGCCATCCACCAGGGAGACCAGATGAAGCGCCTGGCTCTTGGCATTTGTTGGTCCAGTCCCGGCCATTGAGGCCATCTGGGGGAGTGAATCAGTGGATGGAAGATCACTCTCTTTCTCTGTAACTCTGACTTTAAAATATTTTTTTTGACAGGCAGAGTGGACAGTGAGAGAGAGAGAGACAGAGAAAAGTGTCTTCCTTTGCCATTGGTTCACCCTCCAATGGCCACCGTGGCCGGCGCACTGCAGCTGGCGCACCACGCTGATCCGAAGGCAGGAGCCAGGTGCTTCTCCTGGTCTTCCATGGGGTGCAGGGCCCAAGCACTTGGGCCATCTTCCACTGTACTCCCAGGCCACAGCAGAGAGCTGGCTTGGAAGAGGGGCAGCCGGGACAGAATCCGGCGCCCCGACCGGGACTAGAACCCAGTGTGCCGGCACCGCAGGTGGAGGATTAGCCTATTGAGCCATGGTGCCGGCCTGAAATAAATTTTTAAAAAAATGTTTTTGGAAAGAGGAACTATTTGGGGCCGGCGCTGTGGCACAGTGTGTTAAATCCCTAGCCTGAAGCACCGGCATCCCATATGGGTGCTGGTTCTAGTCCCGGCTGCTGCACTTCCAATCTAGCTCTCTGCTATGGTTTGGGAAAGCAGTAGAAGATGGCCCAAGTCCTTGGGCCCCTGCACCCGTGTAGGAGACCAGGAAGAAGTTCCTGGCTCCTGGCTTTGGATCGGCACAGCTCCGGTCATTACAGCCAATTGGGGAGTGAACCATCAGATGGAGGACCTGTCTCTCTCTCTCTCTCTGCCTCTCCTCTCTGTGTACTTTCAAATAAATAAATCTTAAAAAAAAAAAAAAAAAAAAAAAAGAGGAACTATTTGTTTATTTGCAAGGGAGAAAGGGAGATAAAGTGAGCAAACTCCCACCTGCTCGTTCACTCCTCAAATTCCTGTGACTGCCTGGGCTGGGCTGGCCTGAAGCTGGGAGCCAGGAACTCAAATCTACACCTCCCGCGTGGGTGGCAAGAACCTAACTATTTGAGCCATCACTGCCTGCCAGAGTCTGCATTAGCAGAACGCTGGAACCGGAGCCAGAGCGGGTTTATAAATGCAAGCACTCTGATCCGGGCTGTGGGCCAAACGCCCAGCTCGAAGAACAGCTTTACTGAGACATGACTCGCATGCCCTAGAGTTCACCTACCTCAAGCGTCGGCTTCACCATTTTTTGGTCTTCACGGGAGTTACTCACAATCTCATTTTAGAACATTTTCTCCTCCCAGAAGAAACCCCACGCGTGCTAGTGCTCCCACCCCACTCCCACCACCACCTTCAGGCCTCGGCCACCACTCACCTTCCTGTCTCTGTAGGTTTTCCTCTTCTGGACATTGTCTACACATTGACCTATGTAACGCGTGGCCCTTTGTAACCGGCTTCTTTCACTAGCCTGTTTTCAAGGTTAATTTGGGCTGTAACTTGCATCAGCACTTCATACCTTTGTATCATCAAGTGATATTGTAAAGTTTTACAATATTTTATTCACTCATTCGTCAGTTGATGGACATTTGGTTGTTTTCCTTTCTGGCTACGATGAGTACTGTTGCCGTGACATTCCTGTGCAAGTTTTTGTGTGGACTTTTGTTTTCATTTTTCTTGGGAACAGACCTAGGAGTGGAATTGCTGGGTCACACAGCACACAGTAACTGTATTTAATGTTGTAAGGAACTGTCAGGGTGTTTTTCAAATCAGGTACAGCATTCTACACTTATCACCAATATATAGAATTTTGATATTAAATGTAGGTGCTCTTTTTATTCTTTAATTTTTAAAAATTTTAATTGGAGGCCGAGGTTGTGGCATAGTGGATTAAGCCATGGCCTACAGTGCTGGCAGTCCATATGGGCGCTGATTCGAGTCCTGGCTGCTCCACTTCCAGTTCAGCTCTCTGCTATGGCCTGGGAAAGCAGCAGAGGATGGCCCAAGTGCTTGGGCCCCTGCACCCACATGGGAGACCTGGAAGCTCCTGGCTCCTGGCTTTGGCTTGGCCCAGCTCTGGCCATTGCAGCCATTTGGGGAGTGAACCAGCAGATGGAAGACCTTTCTCTGTTTCTCCCTCTCTCTCTCTGTAACCCTGCCTTTCAAATAAATAAAATAAGTCTTCAAAAATTTTTAAATTAATTTTATTTCAAAGATAAAAGGGGACCGGGGAGAGGAAGAGGGTAGGAGAGAGAGATCTTCCTTCTGCTGGTTCAGTCTTCAAATGCCCACAAAATCCAGGGTTGGGCCAGGCTGAAACCAGGAGCCTGGAACTCATTCTGGACCCCACACATGGGTGACAGGGACCCAAGTTCTTGAGCCATCACCTTCTGCCTCCCAGAGTGCACATTAGAAGGAAGCTGGAATTGGACACTAGGCAGGCCCCAGTGCAGGCACTGCAACGTGGGCTGTGGGCATCTGAAGCCGTGATCTGATTGCTGTCCCACATCACACACCCCTGGATACTCTGTAAAGCACTATTTCAGGTAGAAGATGGTAGGAGTTCAGTAAATGTTTGCTGAATAGAAAAGTAAGGGTTTTTTTTAAAGCTTTATTTATTTATCTGAGAGGTAGAGTTGCAGACAGAGATGGGGAGAGACAGAGAGATCGTCCATCTGTTGGTTCACTTCCCAAATGGCCAGAGCTGAGCTCAACCTGAAGCCAGGAGCCAGGAGCTTCTTCCGGGTCTCCCATGCAGGTGCAGGGGCCCAAGCACGTGGGCCATCTGCTACTGCTTTCCCAGGTCATAGCAGAGAGCTGGATTGGAAGAGGAACAGCCAGAAAACGAACTGGTACTCATACTGGATTCCAGCACCACAGGCAGAGGCTTGGCCTACTGTGCCATAGTGCTGGCCCTAAAGTACTTTTACTTTCTGAGTAAGGTGAGGAAAAGGGCTGAATGTGGGAGGAAATTGGCGGGTGATGTGGGAAATTCAAGGGAGATGGGGTGGGAGATGGGTGAACCCCTGACCATAACCTCCACTCCAACACCAGCTGGTCAGGCCCCTCTGAGACTTGTTTGCGATTCCCAAACAGGATGAGTCAGTGACTGCTGACATTGAGATTGACCTGGAGGCTCTCATGGAACTCTCCACAGAGGAGCAGAAGACTCAGTTGGAGGTAGGCTCGGGGTGGAAGCTGGGCTCCCATCCAGGGCAGTCCAGGAACCCAGGCTCTGCCTACTTGGTTGGAGTGGGAAGTCCCAGTTCAGAGGGCAGAATTCTTAGGCAACTGAGTGGGGGGCTCGGGCGAGAGCACTGTGGCTCAGGGACCCCATCTCTGCTCTTTCCCACCCAGGACCTTCTCCGAAACTGTCCCCGCCCCACGGAGGTAAGGGATGTGCTGCTGGCGGTGGGAGAAGGGAGCTAATGGAGGGCGAGGCTTGGCCCGGGCGCCTTCGTCCTTCCCCTGCTCTGGGGAGCTAAGGAGGGCAGTGCGGCACATGAGACCTCACGCCTGCTGTCCCTCATGTGTCTTCCTCAGCCTTTCATCTCAGAGCTGCTCAGCCAACTCAAGAAATTCCGAAGACTCAGCCGGCCTCAGAAATAAGCCTGGAGACACGATGCTTTGCCAGGCCTCCCTGAACCTCTGCATCCCAGCTGAGGGACACAGCGCCTCGGGACACGGGCAAAGGACACCGAGGACAAGGAGGGACATTTGTACACCCGGTCATGTGCACACAGCTGGCTTCTGTTGGCTGGGCTCCGAGAGCCACTTAAGGCTGTTCCCCAGTGCTTTTCTTGGCTGCCAAATGGATAAAACTTTTAGGAGGATCAGCTAAATGGAGTGTGGAGCATCTCTGTGCAGAGGAAGAGGGGAGGGAGAGGGTGCAGTGATACCCTGGAATGCCAGCGTCCTAAGTCACAAGGCTGTGCCCCACACTGCATCCATCCATCCATCCAAAGAGGACAGTCACAGCTCAGCTGCAGAGAGATCACAATCCAGCGAGGCCCAGCGGCCGTGCCAAGAGCCGACACACAGCATACTGGCATCGCCAATGGGAGGGCCCAAGTGGCAAGGACTAGTTTCGTATCCCAGAATGGAGTAACAGGAAAAATCTAGCTCAATCTGGGGCTTCAGAGAAGGCTAAACTTCTTTTTAAACAAAATTTTAATCATTTTCACTTTATTTGAAAGGCAGAGAGACAGAAAGAGATCTTCATCTGCTAGTTCGCTTCCCAAATGCCTGTAACAGCCAGTGCTGGGCCAAGCCAGAGCCAGGAGCCCAGAACTCAGCCCAGGTCTCCCAGGTGTGCAGCAGGGACCCAAGGATTTGAGTCATCACCTGCTGCCTTCCAGGGGGCACATTCGCAGGAAGCTGGATCAGAAGCAGAGCTGGGGACTTGAACCAGGCACTCCAATATGCGATGTAGGCATCGCATCCCAAGCAGCAGCCTAACCACTGTGCAAAAGCCCACCCCAGACCTTCTTGTTCTCACAAATGAGGCAAGAAGTCTTAGGCTAAGAACTCTCCTTTGAGCTGGTTCCAGCTGGAGGCAGGAAGAGAAAAACCTGGGTGATGCAGAGAAAGGTGAAGGGTACAGACTGAGGTCAGGGGAGTTGTTGGAAGACAGACACCAGATCTGGGTGGCAGGCAGGCTGGAATGGAACTTCCTCCGAGGCAGGAAGCAGGTATGTATGCATGGTTTGAGTACCAGAGAAGCTGAGATCCAAGATGGTGCGGCCTGGTGGCTAAGCTGGGCTGCCCAGAGCCTGAAGCACAGTTCAGGTGCCTGAATATTCATGCTTACTTAGTAGGCGGTCACCAGGGTGGGTGGGACTGTTCCTGTCTGGAGAAGCTAACAGGACAGCTCCTTCATTCCACAGGACTGCCTTTATACCCTGCCCCACACTCAGGCCGCCTCTCGCCTCTCTGAGAGAAGAGATACCGGATGCAATGAATCAACACACTTTATTAGAGCCACTAGATGCCAGCGGCTGGCCCTGGGGCCCTGGAGCCAGGTTCCAGGGCTGCTCCTGAGATCTGATCTTTCCCTGTTGGGCCTTTCACTTCCAGTCTGGCCTTCGCCTCCCTTCCGCTCCTCCAGTCGCTGTCTCTGATGGAGAACCTACATGCTTCCAGGGGCTGGGAGGCTCAGGGAGGGCTGTGGCCTTCATGCCGCTCTTGCCATGGACGCCCCGAGGCCGGGCCCGGAGGTGGGTGTGGCAGCCTGTAGTTCTGCTTTCCCAGGAGGCCCGGGTGTCCTCAGTGCACTCGGCCCCTGTGCGGGGGCCGGTAGGCAGATGTCTGGTGCTCTTTTAGCTCAAAGGCATCATGGCCCTCCCTGAGAAGGAAGGGGTGCAGGTCAGGGACCCAGGGTGGCTCCCGAGCCCTCCCCAGGACGTGGTGTCTGCACCCACCGGAAGCAGCGGGCACAGTAGAGGTCTCCGTCGCAGCCTGAGCAGCGCAGGGTGGCATCCTCGTTGCAGATGCAGCACCAGGGAAGCTCCTCGTCCTCAGCCTCAGGCGTGGTGGCCTTGGCCTGCGCCTTCAGGGACCAGAGGGGACAGGGCAGGAAGGTCCCTGATGCAGTCTGGGAGGCGGCTGGGGGAGCAGTCAGCCAGGCAGGGAGCAAGGCTGGGCTGCATGGCGCACGGCTGTCGGGGGGTTTCCTTACCTCAGGCTCTGCCCTACAGGCCTGGGCCCGGGGTCGGGGAGCCGGCCGTGCGGGGATGTTGAAGCCACTTGCCTCATCCAGGGCCGCTTCCTCAGTGAGCTGTGTGTAGGGCAAAGAGGTCCCACTCCCGGCCCCGCGCCCAGGCTCCCCCTCTGCCTCCCCCCTCAGCCCATCTTCCTTGATCTATCGGCAGTAGCTGCTGATTCCCATCTCAAGGGACGAGGGGCCAGGTCTGGGTCAGAGGGCCAGTGGAGTCCCCAGGGGGCTGGGAGCCAGGGTGGCTGCGCATGCAGCCCGCAGGTGGAGGCAGGGTGAACAGGGCCCAGTGGGTGGTGTACAAGGAGGCAGAGAGACAGGACGAGGTGAGCCTGACCCACCTGCTGCAGGACCCTCTGGATGGCTGTCTCCTCATCCTCATCGTCGTCGCTGTCTGGAAGGCGGTAGTCCTGTAGGGTCACTAGAAGTGGGAGGGGGCCAGAAAGGGGGAGTGAGGGCCGGGGACTCCACCTGAGTGGCTGACTGCTTGCCTCCTGCGGCTGGTTTGGTTCCCGGGGCACCTGTTCCGGAGCTGAGAAGCCTCCGCAGCCCCTCTAATCAGAGCGGTGCCCTAACAGGCAGAACCGGGCCATCAGTGATGTGGCCTTGAGGGCTGGGGGTGGAGCTGGTTCTGCCTCAGTGCCCATATGGACCAGAGGCCCCACCCTGATGGCTGCCACTGATTCCTCAGTCACTGCTTTGCCCCAGTTCTGCCTCCAGGCAGGGCATGACGCAGCTCTGGGCACACGGACACCAGCAGCGAGCGAGCCCTGGCAGGGCAGCAGCGCCAGCCTTTACCTCTCTCCGGGTCCTGTCCCCGCAGCACAGCCAGCCGCTTGGCAAGGGCCAGGATCCGCTCCTGCCTCGTGTTCTCCTCCCGTAGCTCCACGGCTGCCTCGGCCAGCAGCCTGCTCTTCTCCTCGTCCAGGGATGAGCTGGCCTGCCGCTGGGGACGAGTGCTCTGGCTCCCTGGGCCACCCTGGTTGAGGTCATTTTGGGGACAGGCAGCTGGAAGGAGTAACGTGGTCAGGGAGCCGAGGCCTTCCAGGTCCTCTCCTCACCGAGCCCATTCCTCAACTACTTAACCACCATCACCAGCTTTCTGCTCAGCACAAGTGTCTGTGGTCCATCTTCAAATACACTGGTGTTTCCTCCTCTGTTCCAACTGTCTTTCTCCACCACCGCCACCCCCATTCACCTGACATTTTAACGTGTGGACCTTGGCCAGGAAAAAATCTCTCTTTCTCTTTCTCTCTGTAATCACCTTTCAAATAAATCAATCTTAGAAAAAAAAAAAAATGCTCTGGGATGTGACGTCATCCCAGGTTGAGAACCACTGCTCCGAAGGCTTTAAGCAGCACCATCCAACAGAATATTCTATGACGATGGAAGCGTCATTCCGCAGGTTCTCTGCCTACACGTACGTGATGGGAGCCATGAGCCAATTTTACATTTTATTTAGTTTTAATAAAGCTAAAGTTAAATAGTCTCTTGCACCTCCTTGTCGTCGTCATGATCCTCATCTCAGAACAACCACTGAGCACTTACTATGAGTGGTCCCCAGCACTGCTGGATTATCTCAGGTACACACCGTGAAGTCGGTTGCAATGGCCATACCTCCATTTCCTGACAGTAAAGTGAGACTGAGGCCGTGAGAGACACACGCCTAGGCTCCCAGAGCTAGTGTGTGGCAGAACCGGGAAGCGCTGATCTAAAGTCCACACCCTTAACGACCAGGCTAACCCTGGCTTCCTCGGGCAAGCACGCAGGAAACGGCAGCTGCTCCGGCGAGTGTCCCTTCCCCCGATTCACATTCACCTGGGGAAGGAGGGGAGGCAGGTCCCCGGGGGGCCGATGCAGGGCTTACCTGGGCTGTCTCGCTCCCAGCGCTCATCAATAGCCACCTCAGCTGCCAGCTGCGTTAGCAGGTCCTGTGTCTGCTGGGCCTGTGTCCTGATGTCTGGGCCCTGATGTGCCTGCCCAGACGAGGGGAGCTCAGTGGGGAGTGAGGTAGGGAGAGAGCCACACAGAACAGCCGAGAATCAGCCTGGGCTGGACCAGAGCCCAGGGCAAGGAGCCGAATCCAGGGCGTGCTGATTAAGCAGGACTGGCGGTCCCCAACAGGACAGAGGGTCCTCTCTGTCCTGTTCCACCCGGTCCTGCTGCCCATGCCCGAGGCTCAGAAGGTAGAGGTGGGCATATGCATATCCAGGCTCCTGCCAGGCCCTTGGCCTGGGAAACTTTCCCTCCAAGGCTGTAGCACTCACCGGCTTGGGGGTCTGAGAAGGTGGAGCTCTGCCTTGCAGTAGAGCAAGCCGTGTCTCCATCTCCTGGGTGGAAGGGATGGAGCCCTGGGGTTCATCCTTGAGCGCGGCCAGCCGTGCCTCTATCTCAGCTTGCGAGGGCACCGACTCTGTAATAGGCGTGGAGGACCCAGGTAAGGACCGGAGGAACCCCAGTGTCAAGGCCTTGGGCCATGTCCTTTAGGCCTCCTGCCTGCCCCCACTCACTAGGCTTGTTCTCCTGGCGGAGTCGGGCCAGGCGCTCAGCGATGACCTGGTCTTGCTGGGTGAGTCCTTGGCTCCGGAGGGTGCTGGACTCCTGCTTGGCTCCCAGGGCTGCCACGCGCCTGGCAGGATATGAGAGAGGCTCTCAGAGAGGCAGAAGGGAGGAGTGAAGGCACCCACTGACTGCTTCCAGTTCAGATCATCTCTGGGCACCTAGGGAGGCCTCGGATGGGCAGTCTCCTGTGGTCCTTGCTTGTGTTGCCCTGCTGCCCAAGCCAGCCGACCGGCCAGAGGGTCTGAGAGGGAGAGAGCCACCAAGGGCCTTTCCCAGAAGAAGATGATGGGCTGTTCTCTGAGCACAGTGGCTTGAGAGGGGGCAACCTCCTGGCCCTATGCTCGTCTGATCTGGAGGCTGGGAGGGGAGGCCCACCCGTTGGCTCCATCTCCTTTTTCTGTCTCTCCTTTCTGGGGCGACGAAAGGCCAGAATCCCAAGCTATTCCAAACCTGACACTTACTTCTTATAGTTTTGAGGTGGTGACCACTTGGAAGCATTGGCAGGAGAAGACCCACTATAGAGAAAAAAATCAAGAAATTTAGTGTCGGAAGTCCTGCCACCCCACCGGTCAGTGTCCACTGCCCTCAGACACCCCCTGGGTGACCTCCAGCCGCAGAGCACGAGGCTGTGAGGGCTGGCTTATGCCGCTGCCATGCCAGGCTGGCTCCTCGCCCAGCCAGGCCTCCTACCTGGTGAGGGCCTCATGGCACTGCTTGCAGACTTTCTGTTGCATATTCCCAGCACGAGGTACCACTGCGCTGAAGCGAAGGCAGCTGGAACAGAAGGCTCGCCCACAGTTCTTACAGCCACACTACAAGAAACACAAAGCAGGAGGATCCTCCTCCCGCCCGTACCCCGAAGGCTCTCCAAGCACAGAGAGAGGGAGAGAGGAGACACTGAAGTTGTGACGGGCTGCTTGGAGGAGGAAGAGGAGTGGGGTCCCTAAGGTGTAGGGAGACAGGGGTGAAGGGGAAAGCAATTGCTCGGTTTCCAGCCTCACTCAAATAAAATAAAGCTTCATGCAAAATCCCCTGTTTTCTGATGTCTTCGATTCCCTGACACAGCACCCAAAAGACGGCCAGGCAAAGCCCTTTGCTTAGGGCCATGGGATTCTTTCACAAAGACAATGAGAGAGTTCCCGGCCTCCGCCTTCTCTGCTCCAGAGGGCAACTTGGCTCTGGATGGGGGGATAACAATAGCTTGCATTTATTAAGCACTTACTGTGTGCCAGGCACTAAGCTCAGCACGTAGCTTTCATCATCTGGCTGAATCCTCAACGATACACACACGTCATCTGACCTGATCCTGATGGCCACCAGTGTCACCACTAGTTTAGAGGGGGCAGAGAGGGTGCCCTAAGTCACCCCGTGAAGGAGCCAGCAGAGCTCCTTGACTCCCAAACCCAGGCATCTACTGTAGGTCTGCTTCCCTCGGTGCCATCCATGCAGCCCATCTGTTTCCATCACTTCCTGATTGAGGTGCCCTGGCCACAACCGAGGTTGCACTTAACCAGGGGAACTTAGCAGATCAGTGCTGAGGACAAGAGAGCCTCCCCCGCGCGCCCTGGGGGCGGGGGCGGGGGGGTAAGTGCAGGCTGCAGGATGGGACTAACTGGCACGGTGTGATGGACAGGGTCATCGGGCGTTACACAAGATCGGATGGGGAGAGGGAAACAGCCAGACTCTACACTAGGCGGAAAGGCACAACTTTCCAACAACGGCAGCAGCGTGCTTAACAACTTATAGGCTACGTTCATCTACAGCAACTCACTGGACCCTCACGAAAACCCCGAACGCGAGAGTGAGAGCCCCACTTGGGAGACAGATTCAATGATGTCATCAAAACCACACAGCTGGAAAGCGGCCTTGAAACCAAGTCTTCGGACTGCAAGTCCCGTGCTTTCCCCCGCACTCCGCGTCCTCCCTGGCCCTCCAGACCTCGGGGAGAGAAGACTCGCCTCCTTCTTGAAGAGGGTGAACTTGACAGCGCAGCAGTAGCATCTGTTCTCCATCGTGGATCCCGGCGCGTCACGATCCGCAAAGTGGAGGCCACGCCCACCCGGTCCAGGGCCCCTGGGACCCTCACCCTACGTCGCCTAGCCCCACACGCCCCCTTCAAGCGATCGGGCTGTGGCCTGGGGCGGGGACTCAGAACGCCCGCTCTACCAACTAGCCAGGGAGCGGCGGCGGCGGCGGCGGCGGCGGGGCGGCGGCGAGTGCGGGGCTGCTGGGAATCGTAGTCCTTTCATGACTGCCACCTCCACCAGAGCCAGTCAAGCCGAACCTAGAACACAATTCCCAAGAGGCTAAGCGCCATCTGGCCCGCTCGCATCCGGCAGGCCCTGCGTGCGCTTAGACTCCTGGGAGTTGTAGTACGAGTCAAGTCAGGGCTGGAACCATGGCGGTCACCAAGGAGCTCTTACAGATGGACCTCTACGCGCTACTAGGTATTGAAGAGAAGGCGGCGGACAAAGAGGTGAGAACGGTGGAGAAGAAGGCCGATCCTGAGCGGTCTGGAGGCCCTTCCTGTGCTGGCGCCTCGCTCGCCGCGGGCACCTGCTTTCCAGGTTCGGCCGGGCCCTGGGCGGGGAGCGAGGGGCTGCCCGACGAGCTCGCAAGGTGGGCCCCCAGACCTTTCCTGGACGCTCTGAGAACCTCACGGGGAGGGGACGGGGAGCACAGAGGTGTCCTTGCGACGAGTGTCCATGCTCGCCCTGTGGCTTCTGCGTGGGAGAGGCCGCGGGGTGAGCCTGCGGGGTGGGGGAGGCCCAGCCTCCTCTCTGCGCCTGCGCAGTCTCAGCCTCCGCGTCCGCTTCGGGCTTGGCTGTGGCTAAAGGCGCTTCGTTTCAGTCTCTTTGGCAGGCTGATTTAGCTCCACCTGGAGTGGAAGAAAGGTCAGCCCTCGAGGTTTCTCCACTCCCACTTCATCACTTCTTGGCGGTGTGGCCTTTGACCCACTCTAGCCCAAGGGCGCTTTCGAAGTAGCAGGTGTTCAGGTATTGGCTTTCACAGCACCTGCTAGTAAATGGGCCAAGAAAGCAAGGGTCAGAAGGGCAAGGCGGGTGGCCTGGGGTTCCTCTTCCCATGGGGGCTGATGAAGGTGCCAGGGTGTGAAACCGTGATGAAGCAGAGGCTTATCGCCCCGCATCGCGGTAGTAATTCTAACACCGTAGCAAGGAGAGGCAGATAATTGATGGGATGAAAATTAAAGCCCACTCTGCCCCTGTACTTCCGGATTTCCCTGCTCAGGGGCTGAGCGAGCTCTGAGAAGAGGAAACTGGGGCGGAGAAGCCAGGAGACCTAGAGAGTCCCTGAGAAGAGGTGTTGCCATCCTGCTCAGAACTGTCTCCTGCAGCTGCAGCTGAAATCTAGAGTGGCTGTGGGGATGTTCTACCCAGGCCGAAAGCACCTGCTCCACCTCTTATAATTCTTAATATTTCAGTATTAGTTGTGCCTAACACCTGTGTAATGCTTACTGTATGCCAGACAGTATTCCAAGTACTCTATATTTGTAAGTTGTATAACTAGTACTTTATTAATAGTGAGAAAATATTTGGGACATTTCACACAAGACCCAGCCAGTGTGAAATCTGGAGTTTGGAACCCTGAAGTTGAGAACTCTTGAGGAAGACAACTGGGAACCGTTGAAGTGTATTATAGTATTAATCAGAGTGGTCACATAATAGGATTTTCGGTAAAATGTTCAACATCGGTGTGCGGAATGGCCCTGGAGGGCAGTGGTGGGTGGCTGTTGTCCAGGCAACAGACTAAGCTGGGCACTGGTTGCTGAGAGTTCTCACTCAGGTGAGATAAGAATATGAGAGAAGGCTCTGCATGAAGGGTGACAGCCACTGCTGCCTTTTAGTAGGGGAGGCAAGTTCCATGCACAACTAATTCAAGGGGCACGTGGTGCATTCCACAAGACAGATAAAGCAAAATGCTATGCATGTTCAGAGTAGGCCAGGATTGCTTCTGGATTGGGAGAAGAGGTGGGAAAGTAGGGAAGGCATTTGAGGCTTTGAAAAGGGGGCAGGATTTGGACAGGTGGAGGTGGAAGACTGGCATTCCAATAAAGGAGACAGTGTGTATAGTCCACTTTGTCTAGAGCACAAGCTAGGAAGTCATAGAAGGTAGGCCTTGAAACGTGGTGGCATCCCCATGGAGGCCCAGCCTGTGGCCCTGTTTCTTAGTAACCAGTTCTCCTTTCCGGCACTTATTTCAGTTGGCAACCATTTGTTCATCTGTGTGATTCTTCGTCTCGTGCATACTCCCCTCTGTGCTCCGGTCTGGTAGATGATGACTAATACATAGTAGGCTCTCGGGAACTATTTGTTTAGTGAATGATGTAGCAGCTACAGAGATCACTGCAGCAGCTTGACTTGAGAATCAGGAGACTGGGGGCGGTCACTGTCTCTCTCAGGTCCTGACTTTCCCCAAATGGAAAATGAAGGAGTAAGGCGAACTGTGGTTTTAGGGATCCAATGGCCAATGGCCTTTTTAAAAAATGAATTAAGAATGCTTTTCAGGTTTTCCAAGATTGTAAAAACAAACACAACTCAATAACAAAAAAAAAATTCAAAAAGTTTAAAAAGATTTATTTATTTATTTGAAAGGTAGAGTGACAGGGTGAGTGTGACAGCAAGAGACAGAGAAATCTTCCATCCACTGGTTCACTCTCCAGATGCCTGCAATAGCCGGTGATGGGCCAGGCCAAAGCCAGGAACCAGAAACTCCATCCGGGTCTCCCACATGGTGGCAGGGACTCAAGTACTTGGGCTGTCATCTGCTACTTCCCAGGCACATTAGCAGGGAGCTGGATCAGAAGTGGAGCAACTGGCACTCAAATTGGCACCTCTGATAAGGCATGTGGATGTTGCAAGAGGTGGCTTAATGGGGCTGCCACTGTGGTACAACGGGTTAAAAGCCTGGCCTACAGCGCCGGCATCCCACATGGGCACCAGTTTGAGTCCCAGCTGCTCCACTTCCAATCCAGCTCTATGCTATGGGCTGGGAAAGCAGTAGAAGATGGCCCAAGTCCTTGGGCCCCTGCACCTGCTTGGGAAATCTGGAAGAAGCTCCTGACTCCTGGCTTCAGATCCGCCCAGCTTCTATTATTGCAGCCACTTGGGGAGTGAACCAGCAGATAGAAGATTCTCATTCTCTCTCTCTCTCTCTCTCTCTCTCTTTCTCCCTCTCTCTGTAACTCTTTCATTTAAAATAAATCTTTTTTTTTTTTAATTTTTTAAAAAAGGGGTGGCTTAATATGCTGGGCCATGATGCCTGCCCCAAATGTACCACATTTTTTTTATTCGTTCATCTGTTGATGGACATTTAGGTTGTTTCCACCTTTTGGCTGATGTGAGTAATGCTAGTATGAACGTGGGTGTACGGATCCGTTTTACTTTCCACTTTAAATTCTTTGGGGTGTATCCAGAAGTGGAAGTGCTGAGTCACGTGGTAATTCTGTGATTAACGTTTTGAGGAACTGCCTTACATTCAGCCTTCCCACCAACAGTGCATATGAGCTTCTATTTTTTTGTATCCTCAGCAACATTTCTTTCCTTTTTTATAAAAAAGATTTATTTATTTATTTGAAAATCAGAATTAGAGAGATCTTCTATCCCCTGGTTCACTTCCCAGATGACTGCATTTTTTTTTATGTTTATGTATTTTCATTGTATTTGAAAAACAAAGAGAGATCTTCCCTCTGCCGGTTCACTTCCCAAATGCCCACAACATCCCGGGCTGTGCCAGGCAGAAGCCAGGAGCCTAGAATTACATCCAGTTCTCAAATGTGGGTGCAGGGACCCAAGTACTTGAGCCAGCATCTGCTGCCTTCCAGGGTGCAGTAGCAGGAAGCTGGATCAGAGGCAGAGGAATCAGGACTTGAACCAGGCACTTCAGTGTAGGATGTGTGTGTCTAAAGTAGTGACTTAACCCCTGTGCCAGACACCCACCCAATGCCTGGTCCTTCATAGATGGTCAGTAAATCCTTGCTGGGTGACTGACTGAATAAGGATTATTGTTTTGTTGTTGTGGATGTTGCCCTACAACCACCATATATTATAGAGCTGACCCCTGATCCTGGTGATGGGCTTATCAGTAGGATTTCTGGTAGTGAACACCGGCACCAGGGCCTCCAAACTTTTTGCATTGGCAGTGGCGGGGGTGCGGTGGGGTGTTCAGCTTCCAGCAGGTCCTCATCATACTGGATGAAGATGTCTTTGATCTCCACATATTTCTTTCCTTTTTTTTTTTTTTTTTTTTTTTTTTTGACAGGCAGAGTGGACAGTGAGAGAGAGAAAGCTCTCCCTTTTGCCATTGGTTCACCCTCCAATGGCTGCCGCGGCTGGTGCACCGCGCTGATCCGAAGGCAGGAGCCAGGTACTTCTCCTGGTCTCCCATGGGGTGCAGGGCCCAAGGACTTGGGCCATCCTCCACTGCACTCCCTGGCCACAGCAGAGAGCTGGCCTGGAAGAGGGGCAACCAGGACAGAATCCGGCGCCCTGACCAGGATTAGAATTAGAACCTGGTGTGCTGGCACCGCAGGCGGAGGATTAGCCTATTGAGCCGCGGTGCCGGCCCGATCTCCAAATATTTCTGGTAACAGGCTGCAGGGGTTTGGAGATGGACTGGTGGTAGCATGAATCTGAGCCACATGACTACCACCCTTCACCCTTCACTTGGACATGGATGTCCACGCCAGCAAATTGTTCCGTGCCCAGAAGCAGAGCAGGCTGCAGTAGCTTGTACTGTGCCATGCGCGTGGCTCAATCATCTTCAGGGGCTTCCTGTTCACCTTGATGAGGCCGTTGTCCCATATGCAGCACGTCCGAAGTCCTGAAAGGACTGTAGCGGGCGCTTGGATGGCATGGCTCCGGCCGCACTGCAGAGACCCTTGCAGCGAGACCCCACAACCTGAAAAGGAAAC